CGGGAACAAATCAATTCTTGGAATCAGAACAACCTCTTCTTCCGCAGATCCTGTTAATACTTCAACTTTCTGCCGAAACCGGTTTGGCTCAGTGGATAGAGCGTCGGCCTGCGGACTGAAAGGTCCCAGGTTCCATTCTGGTCAAGGGCATGTACCTGGGTTTCGGGCACATCCCCAGTGGGAGATGTGCAGGAGGCAGCTGATCGATGTTTCTAACTCTCTATCTCTCTCCCTTCCTCTCTGTAAAAAATCAATAAAAAAATATATTTAAAAAAGAAAATACTTCAGCTTCAATTATGTTAGGTTGAAATCTTGTGATAATAAATCTAGTGCCATTACAAAGACCCCATTTACTATTAAGATTTCTCAGTAGCATGATGATTACACCTACTTTCAATTCTAATTTATGACACAGCATTCCTGAAGAAGTAATACTTTTAAGAAATTCGATGGGAAAATTATCCTTTTCAGCATCACCCGTTAAATCTAGTATTATTGTCGATTACACTGTTGTCTCTGCGTTTTAATGCAATACCTGTTCCCCAGCCTTTTTAACCATGTGGGAAAAGAATAGGGTATGTCATTGCATCTAATGTAGGAAACAGGATACTGATTTGTTTCATTTTAGTGGCACTCAGATTATTGGGATCTGGTTTACAATGAATGAGCAAGTCCCTTTCGAAAGGAGGTCCTCCGTCTTCGTTTCTGAATATGATGGCAACTTTGGTTACACGGGGAGAATTATATCTACCTGATCACTATTACAATCATATTTAGTCACCATTGTTACTTCCATGTGACGCCGCCGCTTTCTTTCAGCTTCAGAATGTCAACAAAAACAAACAAATTCATGATCAACAATGACAGATCAAAACACTCATGTGCGACTGGTGCCAGCGAGAGCTTTATGTGTGTCACGCATGCGCAAGTCAACTTACCCTTTTATAGATATAGAACGAACTTGCTTAATTAGACCTGCTTTCTGATGTTGCTAAACTTTTTCCAGCCCAGTGAAGCACCCCAACTTCTCTTTCAGGTAATTGTCAGCAACACAGCAGTAAATATCAACACAAAGCAGATTATTATTGTAGATCACACAAGAGAACAAAGGGAAAATATTTAACTGCAGCAGTGTTTGACTATATTCTGCAGTGAGAAAACCTGAGGTCATTTTCAAGGCCCACCATTTCTTACTTCTCTTCAGGCGGCTCAAGTTTCTAAGCTTTCTAAATCTCTGTTTTCCAGCTGATGAAAAGAAAATAGGATTCCACTGAGTATCCTATCTACCTACTCCAGGACTTCTGTGAGGATCACATGAGATGAGGCACGTGAAAACGCTTCACAGACATTTGGTTAAAGTGTAAAGTGTTCCCACCTGAGGTTAGTCGTTGCTAGGGAGAGGAAGCCAGGTGTTGCTACTCAACGACATAACCCAGATGGTCGGACACTTAGCATATTAGCCGTTTATATAGATAGATTTTATAAATAAATGAGGCCTAGATAGATTGAAGAGCCTCACTCAAGCCACAAAGCCAGAAAGGGGTGGAGCTGGGATTCAAACACAGGCAGCCTGGCTCCAGAAGAGCCTCTCTTTTTTCTTTTTTTAAAATATATTTTATTGATTTTTTACAGAGAGGAAGGGAGAGGGATAGAGAGTTAGAAACATAGATCAGCTGCCTCCTGCACACCTCCTACTGAGGAAGTGCCCACAACCAAGGTACATGCCCTTGACTGGAATCAAACCTGGGACCTTTCAGTCCGCAGGCTGACGCTCTATCCACTGAGCCAAACCGGTCAGGGCAAGAGCCATACTCTTAATCACTGTGCTACTAGTGGGGTTCAGAACATGCTACCCTAAAATATGGCACCTTGGCATATTGAGTATTTTAAACTGAAGGAATTTGAGAAAACAGGAAAGTCACTTTGACCTTCCCTACCCTCACCCTATCTTAGGTAGTTAGACAGACAGACACAGAGCAAGGACCACGGGCCAGGCACAGAAGGTCACCAGGTGGAAAGCCCCAGGTGCCCAGCAAAGGACAATCGTAGGGTGGGACCTCGCCCCCAGGGTGACTTTTCCTCCCCTAGCATATCGTGGTCATGTGGTCATGTGGTCATGTGGTTTGGACACCCTTTCCTCCCTAGAGACAGCATCTAGGCCTCAGTTGTATTTCAGCTCCAGGCCCAGAAAAGCAACAAACCCAGCCACGGCTGCTTGCCCTCAGGACCAGCGCGTTGGATAATGACCCCCAATCAATCAGTGGAGACCTAGACCCTGAAAGGACTCACCTGGAAAACTGTGAATGCTCTACTGAGACCCTCCCCTGGACGTCACCTAAAATCTCCACCCTTGAAACCCTTAGGCCGGAGGACCCAGAGTGCTCTTCCCCCGGAGCCTGAGCCCTTCCCTCCTCCTCCCCAGGCCCCCAGGCTCCTTGCCACTGCCTTCCTCACTCCCAATCTCCAAGGGCCCTTCCTTTACTTCTATTAATGTGTTTCCATTTTTTTCCTATGAATTACTTCTGTGGTTTTATAAATAAATGTTCTCTTATAGTTGGAGTCCTGGCTCTGAATTCTTTCCTAGCCAGAACCCAAGTACTGAGGTCGCTGAACCCAGGTCCGGTCTGACCCCACCAGACCAACACCTGGTCCCATTCCTGCTGCCCCCTCCCTTCTCCCTAAAGACAGGTCATAAAATCCTCAAGCGAGAGGGACCCTCCCTGTACCCAGAGGAAAGTTACCATCCTTATCTCCAAAGACAAAGGGACTCCCAGAAGAATCCTAACCAACAGGCCTGTTCCCTCCAGTTACACTTCCCTCATACCCTTTAACCTATCGTATTTCTCTACAACCTCTTCCAGTCTTCATTTCCTTAGAAAGACTCCCATGTCATGTAAAGCTTAACTAAATGTGTATGCTTTTCTCCTGTTAATGTGTCTTTGTCAGTCTAATTTCAGACCCAGCCAGGAACCCAAAGAGGGGCAAAGAAAACTTTTATTGCACGGCCGGCATGGCTCAGTGATTGAGCATTTACCTGTGAACCAGGAGGTCGGGGTTCAATTTCGTCAGGGCACACGTGGGGTGGCAGGCTTGGTCCCCAGGAGGTAGCCAATCAATGATTCTTTCTCACCAGTGATGTTTCTATCTCTCTCTCCCTCTTCCTTTCTCTCTGAAATCAATAAAAGTATATTTTTTAAAAAAACATGTGCATAATCTTAACTTCCTGTAATCAAATACTCACCTTGCTTTTTTCCACTTTGATGCAGTCTTCCTTATGGTCCCTCCTTAATTCCAAATGTATAAAAGAAACTACACCACTGCCCTGGCCAGTTTGGTCAGTGGTTAGGGCATCATCCTGCCCATCAAAGGGTCATGGGTTCGAATCCCGGTCAGGACACATACCCATTCTCGTTGGGGTGCATGCAGGAGGCAGCTAGCTGATCAATGTTTCTCTCATATTGATGTTTCTCTTTCTCCTCTCTCTCCCTCTCCCTTCCTCTCTCTCTGGAATCAATTTTAAAAATATCCTCCAGTGAGGATTTTTTTAAAAAGAAACTTTGTAACTGTCATTCACCAGAGCATTTGAGATCTTGCTTCCCAGCACTGTCATCAGTTTGACACAAAGTCTTATAAATTCTTTACAGGTTTGGACATTTCTTACGTTGACAGACTCATGTTCTACTTGGTCTGCACTGTGCTTTTCTCACCAAAGATCACAGATATATTTTTATTCCATTGTAGGAATATACCATAGTTAATTTAACTAGTCCCCGAGGTTAAACTAATCCTCTAGGACAGTGGTCGGCAAACTGCGGCTCGCGAGCCACATGCGGCTCTTTGACCCCTTGAGTGTGGCTCTTCCACAAAATACCACGTGTGGGCGTGCGCGTACAGTGCGATTGAAACTTCGTGGCCCATGCGCAGAAGTCGGTATTTTGTGGAAGAGCCACACTCAAGGGGCCAAAGAGCCGCATGTGGCTCTCGAGCCGCCGTTTGCCGACCTAGAGTCTAGGACATCTAGCTTGTTACCAGTTCTCATCACCCAAACACTACTGTCGTGAAGTATTGTTAATCATGTGCAACATATTTGTGTATAAAATCTCTAAGTTAGAGTCTAACTTTATTTTCTTCCAAATAGTTAATGCTCCCTTATTTCAGATTGACAGCATTTTATTTCACAGCTCTTTTAAACTCTATGGAGTAAAATAGTATTTAAATAAAGGAAAAATGCCGTCGCTGAACATTTGCAGAGCCCTGTTTAACTGATAGCGACGGGGAAGCAGAAGGTAATCAGGCCCCACTCCAGGCCCAGGGATCTTTTCCAGGGGGACTCAGATCCTCAGGAAGACAACATGTGTAAGGCATGAACGACCAGCACGGGGAGTTCAGTGACCGAGAGCCGCCCGCGCCGTGTTGCTCAGTGGGTAGAGCGCCGGCCTGAGGGCTGGAGCGTCCCAGGCTCCATTCTGGCCGAGGCCGAGCCTGGGCTGCGGGCTCCATCCCGGGCAGGGTACCGGCTGGAGCAGTCGCTCTCATCGCTGATGTGTCTATCTTTCTCACCTTCTCCCTTCCTCTCTGAAATAAATAAAAATATACATTTAAAAAATAGATAAATAACCGAGAGTAAATCCAGAGCTGGAGGACTAGTGCCTTCAGGACCAGTGAATTCACGCGAAGAGAATTGTTGAGAGAAAAGCTGCAATTATTTGGAGCCACTAATACATTGTGAGCCCCCTGAAAGCGAAACAGATTCTATTTTGTCCCGAGGGCGACGGAGACGTGGAGGACTTAACGGGGAGTCGGGCTGATAATCTCGGTAAACCGGCCTCTGTGAGAAGCGGCTTCGGGGAGGCGAGAAGGTAATTCACCTGTTTCCGTCATTCCTGCGCGGACAGACTGGCTGAACTGGGCTGAAACAGCTGTAAAAATCCTGTCAAGGAGAAAAAATACCTTCCCTCTCCTCTGAGCTCTTGGCTGAGACCCCATAACAGAAACACAGATTAACAGGAGAAAAACAAACAGGTTTATTAACGTGAACACTCGGTGCGCACATGGAGAGGCCCAGGGAGAATGAGGAAGTCCCTGCACGGCCTAAAACACCCACTGAAACCCCACCTCCCGCCGAAGGGGAGAAAAGCGGGGCGGGAGGTGAGGGCTGCGGCTCCCAGGGGCGCCTTTCCCACCGACGAGCTTCTCGTGATGAGTCATCCTTCTCCTGGTACAGAGGAGGCGCCCTTATACATGGAGATTCCTTTATAAATATAAACTTCCCTTACGAAAGGGCAGCTTAAAATAACCCTTATGTCCGAAGGCACACTTGGGCCCGGCACATCCCGCGGCCTGGTCCCTGTGAAGGCGGCGGAAGCAGGCGCGAGGGGCGGAGGGAGGCCAGGGGCCCGGGTTCGGGCTCGGCGCTCACGGAGATGGGACACATGGGCTCGGAACCGGGAAAAGACGAGGAGGCTCAGTTCTGAACAGTCTGAGGTGTCCCTGGGGCATTTACAAAGCGGCCTCCAGGAGGCAGGTCTGGAATGAAAGAAGGCGCTGAGCCGGGAAGTGCCAGAGTAAATGGGGCGGGCACTCCGGGTAGAGTTAGGGGATGGCGCCAGGAAAAAGAACTTGGGCCCAGCGCACGCCCGCGCCCTTCCCGCCCCTCCTCGGCCCCACCCACAGAGCTCTGCGCCCGGCCCGCCCCGGGGCTTCCCGCGCGCCGCTCGCAGAGCATGGTGGGAGCGGAAACCCGCTCAGAGGGCCGAGCATGTCGGGAGATGTAGTTTAGGAGAGGCCCAGCATTCCTCGCGAGACCTGGGCTTCGGTCACTTTAAGGGCAGGTCCAGAAAGCGGTGATGCTCCCGGGGCAGGGTCCCCTCCGGCGGTGGCACGAGGCTCCTCGGGCCGTGTCTCCTCTTCGCAGAGCGTGGCATTTCCACGCCTCCACGATCTGCTCCCCCTTCAGGGGAAGGCCGGTCACTCACGGTGGAAGGACCGG